CTAAGTGAGTTCCCAACTTGTAATTAGTAGAGTAGTAAGTAGAGTAGTTTATAAATCAATCCTTAATCTAGTTTGCTAGATAAGTGAGACCCGTGGATTCGATATTTATTGCTTGTGCCACTATACTGCAGTCCCTTTCATTGGTTACACTTGGCCATTGTTAGGTGTTGTGTTTTAGGGTGTCAGTGAGTCTATCAGAAGTACCCCCAAAGTAAAGTACTTTACTCCACATAGAGTATAGATCTCATTAAGAGTTTAACTCAACCTCCAAAGCTTTGGATTCATGCATCACTATGCATGAACTTTTCTCAATATTACTCATGACTTGTTATTACCCATTGAACCCGTTTCTTGGGATCTCCAATCTATTGGGTCGGGTTACCATCACTTGTAATCCATGGTTCGGTAGGCATAAGTCTCATACCCTTCGTGGTATTTTGGACTTTTCTCTCTAGGTAATCCTTTCGTCAAAGGATCAGCTAGATTATGTTAGGATCTTACATGATCCACCCTCATTTCTCCTATCATTAGGAGTTCTCTTACAGTACTGTGCTCACGACGAATTTGTCGTCTCTTTTCGTTCTAGAACCGGTTCCCTTCTTTTGCAAGAGCTGCGGTGCTATCACAATGAATCAACTACCGGAGGGATCGGCTTTCCCATAAAGGAATCTCTAGTAATAACCCTCTCAGTCAACTTTCCTCTTTACTAGCCCTCGCTAGTTCTATCTTTTCTGATTCCTTAGTTGATTGAGCTAGGATCGTTTACTTCTTAGACTTCCAAGACACAACTCTTCCGGCGATGTTTAAAACATGCCCAACAGATGCCTTGGAATCTTCTATATGGTATTCTTGTCCGCATCAATATACTCTACCAATACAGCCAGAAACCGTTGATAACTTATATCAAGGTCTACTGTTCTTAAGGTGTCTCATGACCCCTTTCAATAGCATTTCAATGCTTCGTACTAGGACAATCAGTAAGCCTGCCAAGTACCCCCCACTAAATCGGGTCTCATGTTTATCAGCTGCCTCTCGCAGACTGTCAATGCTAGTATATTCTAAATTTCTTACACCGTCTTAGGTGTTCTTTAAATATTTATACTAGCATCATCAAACATGTATGCAGGTGTACATCTTGTATTTTCCTAGTTATTAGGATCTCTAAGCATAACATTTGTTTCATTCAGATCCTTCACATTCAAAATTCTCAACCATCATGGTTTTTCAATATTGACATCACGAGTCTTTGTACCAAAGATCAACGTGTCATTCATAATGCAAGTGTCATTCTAAAATTTATACTAAATGCACTTGTCACTTTCACTTTTAAAACCATGAGAGAGAATCGGATTATTCATGCCACTAATTCTGAGTCTATTTCAGATCATATAATGATTTGTCTAACCATAGACTCCATAAGCATGTTCTAGAATAACAACCTTTAATATTGTCCCAATGTAGATTTTCTTTATTCAAATCACTATTCACAAAAGAATTTTAATATCCATGTGATGAATGTTATTATACATATTGGTGAATAAGTATCAAAGAAATCTACAATTTTTTCTCTTCACCTAAAGCCTTAGCTACTAGGCGATCATTATACTCATAAACTAAACCATCAGGTTTCAGTTTTCCTTTTAGGAATCCATTTATTACCTTGGCTTCATTGCCAGGGGGTAATTCTCAAAGATGCCAAATCTTGTTTGGTTCCACCGATATATTACCCAAGGCTTTACAACCAAGAGGTAACTCTACAAGATTCTAAGTCTTACTAGACTCCACAAATTTCATTTCGATAATAATGGATTCTCCCACAAATCTGCATCTTTATGGAAGTTCGAACTTCTAGCAAACTTGTAGGATCTCTTCTTAGGGTGTAAATAACAAATTCATAACCAAAATCTTTTCGCGATTTATGGTTCATTTGTCTCTTCTGAGTTCATACCCAGATTCATCACCCCCACTAGTTATCCATTATTTCTAATAGCAGGCAACATATCACCCCCACTATTTTCTCGATTTAAATGGAATGGCATCAATGGATTCCACATAAAAATGAGTATTTCATTTATGTATTCTACTATTGATAGCAAAACCAATAAAAGACTCTCATGCTCATCTTATACTGCACTGATTCTCAAACTATATCATATGAAAATAGTATTTCATAAATAAAGCTTTACGTCAAAAGCATATGTCAAAAGAATCACATCTTTACTTAGTGCAATCAATAATAATGTGATAAAGCATTTCACATTATTCCAAATTCATCTAATTACATTCACTCATTTCAAAATGAATCAGATACAAGGATTTTAATTCTCTAGTCATATACTTATGGGTCTTTTAGTTTGTCTATGAAAATCATATATTTATCACAAACAATTATGAGAATGTGACTCTATCTTTCAATTCTTCACGATATACGTCAAAGACGTGCATGCAAGACTCATAAGAATTCAGCACGTTAACTTTATCATCATATGCATACTCTCATGACCATTAATAATAGTGGAGTGAGCAATACTCAACAACACTTTCTTAATAGCATATGCCTTAGTATGCTTCGAGGTACCAATATTCAGCCACCATTCTTCAGAGTTACTAGCAAGGTTAATCTCTACTCTTTTCACAATCATCATGACCATCAATCCATCTTTTCAATCAAGTTAACACTAGAAGCAGTGTTATACTTGTTCCTACACTTTCGTGTCATTTGACCTAAGTCATTCTTAGATGATTGGCTGCAGATCCTTTGGTTACCACGAATGGTACCATTCTAATTGGTGTAAATATGGTTTGACTTGCTATCCTGATCTCTAACCTTTAGGGTTCAAAAACGCATGAATAGTTCACTTAATACTGCCACACAGTACTTCTTTCAAAATAAATATGGGCATTCGACCCATTCCACCAGCATATTTACTATATAATATATATTCCCATATACTTCAGAGTATTGATTCAAAATTACCCTTCCAATATGTACACTAAGTTGTACTCTAAATAATTGAGGAAAGCACATCTCAATGTCAACATTTCATACAACAACTCTAATTTTATCTTTCTAGCATGCACAAGAATTTATTGTTTTCACAATTCTATACATAGAACCAATAGATTCTAATTATCATTTATTTATTAATGAAGGATAAAAGGGTTCCGATTCTTACCTCTTTTTGAGAAACCATTATCTTTTAATTTAATAGATAACTAGCACTACACATAGCTTCTTTGTTTCTTGTCCTACTTGTCTCCCTCGCGCCTTCTATAACAGGGTTTCCCGGACTTTTTCCAGAAATACCACTGTTTAAAAAAAGAATTCCAAAAATACCACTCAACCCAAAAAATTTCCAAAAATACCACCTTTTTCAAAAACCGCCACCCCACCCTGCAGTTTACACGGAAACCGCTTGTCGGGGGCGCGGTTTTCTATGCAAACCGCGGGCTAAGGGGCGGTTATAAAAAAAATTGGACCAAACCGCTGGGTGGGGTGGCCGTTTGGCCCAAAACTAGGATGAAATTTTCAAAACAGGAATTATTTGTGGATATACGGGACCTTGAGAATACGGGATCTTGAAAATTTATGCGAAATGGAAAAATAATGGCTAGATCGGATAGCCGAGTGCAAAGTTACGTTCGTTTGAAGTTTCGGCCGAAGTTAGGAGTTGATCGGAAAATTTTTTTTTGGACCAAACCGCTGGGTGTGGTGGTGGTTTGGCCCAAAACCGCCGCCCCACCCAGCGGTTTTTATAACCGCCCCTTAGCCCAGCGGTTTGCATAGATAACCGCGTCCCCGCCTAGCGGTTTTCGTGTAAACCGCAGGGTGGGGTGGCGGTTTTTGAAAAAAAGGTGGTATTTTTGGAATTTTTTGGAGTTGGATGGTATTTTTGGAATTCTTTTTTTAAACAGTGGTATTTCTGGAAAAAAATCCAATTAAATGGCCCTGCAAAAAATTCTTCACAAGGCCGCGAGTCCACTTTTGCGCCTTGGCTGGTGGAACTTATGGACAAAAGCAGATTATTGCGCAGGAACAATTATTTGGACAAGGATAGGGCTGCAAACGAGCCGAGTCGAGTCGAGTTTTTGCTTAACTTGAGCTCGACTCGTTTATAAAATTTTCAGCTCAAGCTTGGCTCGAACTCGAATTTTGATAGTGCAGCTTGAGCTCGAGCTCGGCTTGAATAAAAATAATCTAGCTCGAGCTCGACTCGGTAGAGCTCGCTAAATGCTCATTAAATAGCTCGTCAAGCTGAGTATAAACTCGACTCAAGATGAGCTCGATTTGAAAACATTCTTGCTGAAAAATGTGTAAACATAAGAATTAAAATGATAAAAAGAACACTTGAAACTAAAAATAACATCTAACTTCCATACACATCCGTATTAAAAAGATAATGTTCATGTTCACAAGAGTAATCCATCCTTACACATGCTCTAAACAATGCAGCTCACGAGCTTAGTTTAACAAGCCACCGAATCAAGCTAGCTCGCGAGCTTATCAAGCTGAGCATGGTCTGGCTCAAGCTTGGCTCGTTTACTAACGAGTTGGCTCGCGAGCCGGCTTGTTAAATAACGAGTTGAGTGTCGAACGAGTTTTTTTTTATTCGAACGCCGAGTTGCTCGCGAGCGACTTGGCTCATTTGCAGCCCTAGACAAGGAGCATTTAAATGGACATGATCAATTAATTAGCCCAAGACTGAAATGAGAACACATATATTTAATTATATATATAATGTAAGATTTACAATCTGTTGCATATATCTTTTTTTTTCTTTTTTATAAGGGTGATATAGGTTTACTTTTTATGATGAAAGTATTACTGAAAGGATTCGAACCTGAAACCTCCAAATTCTTGGCTAGTTATATTACCACTAGACCAAGCCTTTGTTTGTTGTTGCATATATCTTACTTTTAGAGACTATTTTAATATGTGCCTCATTATTTAGTCTTTGTAAGTAGTTTTTCTTATATCTCGTATAGTAATGGAATGCATGCTCCCTTATTCATAAAAAAAGATAAAATAATACAAACATATTAATCTTGTACCATTCCCTTGTACGATAACCAGAGATGAGCAATATCCAGGAAAACACGAATACCCTTTTCAGCATGTGTCGAAGAATTCTTTCCAATTTTGTCATCAATGTCGCTTAGTGAGCGAGACGGTCAGGCTGACGAAAGCAGGACTCACCTTGGCCATCCAATCGGAGAGAAGGAGAGCGTACCTCTTGAAAACCTCGTCGGTGATTTCCCTCGACAGATGAAAGTGATGGGCGATGACCGGATCAAACACCGCCTCCATGCACTTGGAAAGGTTGTAGCCACCGTCTCCGGCCAAATTCGCCTCCCCCTCGTAGACATTCCAATCCATATCCCACAACTCCAGGTGTTCAATGGCGAAGGAGCCTTGTTTCCGGACCTCGGTTTCCACTTCCATGGCGGATGGCATGTAAAGTGGGAGGTTGAAGGAATCCAGTTTTTGTTGATCTATTAATCCCTGCATTGCAAGGATCGATACAATAAGTGACAATAGCTAACACTCTTAATTTGATTGTTCTCTTTCAATATATATATATATATATGTACCTCAGTTGCCATTTGGTTGAGAGCCATCGACATAAGAAGGTAGCAACACTCTTTCTCAGAATGTTGTTCCCCTCTCCTTGCAGGAATTGTCAATACCATCCGACCTCCTGTCACCAATTCCTGAGACCTAAACTTCAAGAAGGAAGAAAAGTCGGTCTGGAACTGTTTGCAATAAGCCTCCAACACACCTGGAGGGCTACTACTGGTCAGGTAAATATTTCCCTTGTTCTCCTCCAAGCCTTGTGGGACCCGAGAGCGCCAGTGAAGACTGTAGGAAGAGTGGATGAAGTGAAGGCTGTCGGTCAGGAAAAGCCTGTCATAGAAAGAACCCGGAACTCCTACGATGGAAATCATCAATGGTGGTTCGGAATTCGGTTCTCCCATTTCTTTCTTCATGTTTTCCTTGAATCCTTGAATGGAGGTGAAGACATTGTTGAAGTCGTTTCCAGGGAGGTCGTTCAGGAAGACCTGAAGCTCGGGGCATTCCTGTCCTAGCTCCCTGGAAAGCTTGTGGACGGCCTTGATTACCTCCGACACGAGGAGCAGGGTGTTGGGCCCTGAAGCGCAACCCAGATCTGCCATTACCAGCCTGCCTTTGGGGAAGCTCGAGCTACGCATAAGTTTTACAACTGTTTCTTTTGTTATCGGCAGAGTCCTTGAAATCCCCTTCCGCTGCAAATTGACCACGTGTTAGTATCGTCGGAGATGGTTTGCATTGAGGTTAATTACGCGTGTTCAAATACTCGCGACGCTCTAACATAATTAACAGTTGATGATGATTAAAGTATAAATTCATTGTGTGGTTCAACGTCTCCCAACAACTCGAGTTATTGGGACCAGATCGCTCTCTCGATCAAACTCTGTGATGGGGTTATGTTTCATTTACCTGAAGCAAGGAGTTCATGGCGTAGCTGGTGTCTTCCAGGCCCCCATTCATGTGCAGCACGTTAGCCATTTCCATGATCTCTTGCTTTCAGAGACAGAGAGAGAGAGAGAGGAGTTTTGTAAGCGTTGAGTGATGATTTTCAATGGAACCTACCCCCAAACACTTCACATGGTAGAGCTGGATGGGTTATTATTATGGAGTCTTCCAAGTTGAAGGAATGGATAGGGAGGGATTTATTGCAAGCATGGTACCAACCAGGTTCTCGTTGGCCATGACATTTTCGTTGTTTGTTTGTTTTTCCTTCCAATATTGCTTTCTCACATTGATTGAGTCCAGCAATTATACAAACGGACCCCAGACTGTCTGATATCTCCAGGGCACCAACCAGGTTCTCAGCCATTCGTTTTTATTTATTTATTTTATAGATGATTTTTTTTTTGGGTAGAAATTTTGATAGATGATTTTGATAGGTGATAGTGATACCATTTAACAATTCAGAACTCTCTTTTTTTTTTTTTTTGATCAACCACCTGCTTTTATTAATTATGATTGTAGCAAAGCATTACAATCCGCATTCAGTTGTCAGAACTCTCTTAAATATAACTGAGAAGTTGCTAAATATGGTAGTCGATTAGTTCAACCTTTTTCAAGGCATTGCTGTTGGCGGCTCGAAATGTCACTATTTGTCCTCCTAATTAACACACATTTTTTTTGTTTTTTTATTTTTTTTATAAAAAAAAAAAAAAATCAAACACTCACGTATCCTACCACTTATTTATGGAGATTCTCCATCAGAACACACTGTATTCAAAATTTCCAGCGATCTGAGTAGTTTTAGGAAGAATATTTTTATCACTTAAATTATTAAAAAGAACTACCGAGTAATTAACTAATTTTAATGAATCTACAAGACCCAAGTTCCCTATTTTTTCTATCCATTCCAATTCTTCCGTAAGAAAAGGTTCCTCAATTTTTTTGTTTCGTTCATAACTTGGGATAATGAATAAAATCAATGTTCATATTATACACTTAGGAATTAGGATTACATATTTCCGTAAGAATAAAATCAATAATATTTCCATAAGAAAAGATGATTTATAGTATTGTTAGTTTATTTACAGATTAGGTATATAACTCAAGGTTCATAACTTATACTAGTGTTACCGTAAAGAAAAGGTGCATAACTTATCCTTTATGAGTTTTTAATTAATGATATTTCACTTTTATAATTAAAATTAAAAATTTCAACTAAAATTAAATTTATGTAATATATAAAATTATATTCATTTTGACATATTTTGGAATAAAACCTGTCAGTCCAGCATTCTATAGCATCATATATAATAGCATTCATGAAATATCAATTCGTCTACAATGGTACCCCATCTCTGCAACAATTCCTTATCGTCTCGCCACCATCAATTCTTCATTAGATTATTATGAAAGTGGGCCTCACCTTGCTGACTTGGTTTCAACTAATCTCTCGATCTTCTTAAAGTCAACTTAGAATGTTCATGCTACTTCCAACTTATTCATGATTTACAGATTAAAAATTAACCACCATAGATAAAAAATGGCATTCGTGGAAGGTTTAATTATTCTCATTGTCAATCACTAAACTTTCGTTAACCATTTTACAAATTGGGCAACCAAATATGTACATATACAAGGAAAAAAAAGATCTACTGGAGAATAGGCAACACCTATTGGTTATTCATTAATTTTTCAATTTACAGATTATCAAATTTTGTGTTGGTCGCAGGGTTGTCTATCAGTGTTAAGAAAAAATAAATCTCATGAATGAGGCGTTAATTTACCTACTACAATATTACCTGTCTCAACCCAAGATCCAAACATAACAATTCAATTTTTTTTCTAAATTTAGGAGTAAAAAGGCATAAACTTTAATTGTGTGTAATGTCCCGTGTTTCTAAACATTTTACCATTAAAGATTGGTTTCCAATGAAAAAATAAATAGGAATAGCCTATTGTAAAAGAAAAAGTTCTTTAAGGAAGACAAAGGCATTGGTAATTGGAGAAGATGATGGTGCTTTAAAAGGCCGAGGTAGAACAATCAGAAAAAAATTCAAATTTAAATTTTCTGTAATTATTGACATTGAGTAGCAAATAATGTGACCATCTTATTAAATTTTTAGAAGTCAATTTTCTTGCATGACTTTTGTTTTTTACTTTGAGTAAGGGCTTCAGTCGATAAATCGGGTTAGCATGTTGAAATTATATGAGTATGGGTATGATATTTCCAGTAAGTAAATTATTTGAAAATTTTAGATATGAAATAAAACATGTCTTGCTTCGAACAATTACTAAGGATATTTATACTATTAACAAAATTTATCCGGCCAATGGGCGGGCCCTAATCTAGTACGTACTACTCGCCTGCCGCTTGATTGACCATGATATTGGTGTTATCATCTAATCTCTCATCGTGAATTTAGAGTTAAGTTGTCACCAACTCATTGTGCCAATTCATAGTTTGTCACGCTAATCCATTCCTAACTGCATGCTACCCCGGGACATATTTTAAAAAATTGTTATTTGGTTTAGTACATGGTCGTTAGAAATAAGGAGGGAAGTTTAGCCCATTTTTCTAAAATGAGTTTCGAAATACTTCATCACATGATTTTGGTCTAACTAAGATTGCATGTGCAATTGCAATCACTCTCAAATGCATTTTAAGATCAATGAAAAATTATGCGCATAATTGTTTTTTATGAGGGTTATATGGGTTTATCTTTTAGTTAGGTAGAGATTCGAATATGAGACATTCACCTTCAAAATAAGTGGTATTAACACTAGATCGATCTTGTTGATCTATTAGTCTGGTCTTCCTTGTACTGCTCTTCCCTTTTTGGGGTTTCTTTGTTCTTGCTTTTCCTTTTTGTTTTCTGTTTGTGATCAATCTTGTTGATCACTCTCGCCTGTACTCATGTTGCTCTCTGACAGTCTCTCTCAGTTTGTCTTGTTTTATATTTTAATGCAATCACCCTTATAAAAAAAAATACTAGATCGATATTTTATTCACAATGATGCACGCAATTGGAAACTTCACCATCTACATAACACTAATCAAACAACTTATATGAACTGTTTGGACGAGGCAAGAGATTCTAACCTGAAACCTCCAGATTCAAAATCAATGATATTACCACTAGACCAATTTCTTATTGACTTAAATATTTTTTTCTTGGTTTTGACATACCGTCGGACTGACTAACAATAAACATCAGTGTCGGTAACACTACACGAAAAGACACCTCTTGCAACACTTGGATTGCAACACTATTTAAAAGTGTTGTGTTTGATATACAATAGCAACACTTGTTTGTAGAGTTGCATATTGAGTAGTTTAGGCAACTCAAATTAACTATATGTTGCGTTTGTTCTATTATACGCAACACATATGTCTCGAATAAATTTTAAGTTGCTTAATTGTATAGTTTATGCAACATTTTATCAAATTGTGTTGCAACAAATCAATTTTATTAATGCACGTTTAATTTAAATTGAGTAATTGAAATAAAAAATAACTGGAAGAGAGAAACTGAATCTAGAGATAAACCCAAATATTGGCTAGCAGGAAATAAAATATATGCGTTGATTACTGTTGGGGTAATAGAGATAAGCCCATGAAAGTCAAGAGCCTGTTGGGCCTGAAGCCCACTTATGGCCGATCTAGGGTATGACCTATGTTGGGATAATAGGAACAAGCCCACGAAAGTCAAGTGCCTGTTGGGCCTGAAGTCCATTTATAGCCTATAAGGGCATGACCTACGTAGCTATGAAGGAAGAGGGGCGCATAGCGACAAAATAGGCTTGCAGACAAGGAAGTACGGATGGGCAAGGCCGGAAGGGTGCCACGAGGCCGGTGGTCCCCCTATGCGCCCCGAAGTGGAGGACGGACAGTGTTCCACGTGTAGGCGCGTAGGCGTTGGGTCAGACCAGGCATTTAATGCTGGGCTGACGTAAGGCTTGGTGGAAGGAGTTGGTCGGAGCTTGGTCGAGGGGCTCGAGTAGTATAAATAGCACTTGGTAGGTAGCATTTAAGCATGTCGGTTTTCTCACACTAAAACTTCTCTCTTCACTTCTCTCTTCACTTCTCTCTCTAGGATCACTACTGACTTGATCGTTGGAGTGCTAACGGGCAGGTTTAGCCCTCTAGGCGCTTGTCTTGCAGGGCCCAGGCGCTCGGCGTGGGGAAGAGGAGGCGTAATTCGGGTGTGAGAGTATCGCGGCACAAACAATTGGCGTGCGAGATAGGGGGCGTTCAACAAGTTTAGGAAGATGGAAGACTTGAATGTGGGAAGTGTAGACGCTGATGATGTGGGAACGGAGGATTCCAGTCGTGAGGGAAGTGGGCAGCGGTCTAGTCCCGTAGTGAGCATGGAGGTGGAGGACGAAAGCCGTGAGCGCCCATCTATGGAAAGTGATGCGTTGTCAAAGAGGGAGCTGTTCAAGATTATCGCTGACCAAGACCGGGCCATAGCCATGCTTCGGGGGGAATTGGAAGGAGGAAGGAGCGTTGATACGAGGGAGTACAGCCCACCGGTGAGGAAGCGGGATAGACTCATAGATGATTCGGAAGTTACTGAGTATGGGCGCTCTGGCTATGAAGGGCCCAATCCGGAGGTAACGCCGCCTAGGCACCCGGGTGTGCGGAGGGCGCCAAGAGAGTGGGCCAACCAGGGGCCAGAAGAGCAAAACCCTTGGACGCCTAAACGCCAGGCCAGGCGCTTTGGGATCCGGCAACCCTTAGCGCAAAGCGTGTTAATGGAACCAGCGAGAACTACACTCCCACCGCTGACCAGCTATGATGGAGTCACTGACCCAGAGGATCACCTAAATAGCTATTTCACGAAGATGCAGCTGTACAATAGCACGGACGCCACGTTATGTAAGGTGTTCCCCTCAACGTTTGCATGGGTAGTTTTGGATTGGTACCATCAGTTAGAGGAGGGGCGCATTGAGTGCTTTGAACAGTTCGCGGAATTGTTCTTGTCCAAATTTGCTAGCCAAAAGAGGCGGACGTTGCCTATATGCGCCTTGTTTAAAATCAA